AGTCTGTACTAAAGGTCAGCTTGATTTGTTTATAAATATAGCTCGCATGCGGCTAATTATTGCTGGTTTTAAAGTTGAATTGAACAGCAATTGAAATGAGTATTTATGACTTTGCCGCAGCTGCCAATCAACTTTAATAACTGCATTAAATGAAATGCGAATTGCGCTGATAAGCAGTGCTCGTATATAGAAACCTCTTTTTGGCATTGAATCACAACTCAAGCTAGACAAAGGTCTCTCTCTCTCTCTCTCTGTCTGTGTCTTTGTCTATGTGAGATTTCGCATTCTTTGCACCTAGACAACACCCATTTGTTTACGATGACGTCCTCCCAATTGACAACAAATATTCAACGCTTGTTAAAATGACATCAGCACGTGTGTTTCAACTACACTACATATACATTGTATATATATACATATATAAATTTGTATACCAATATTTGGTGGTTCCATTCACTGGGGGCGCCAACTTTCACTGTGATATAGCCACAGAGATAAGATAAGCGCTGTTTAGTGAATGAATCAGGCTTCGCTCTTGTAGATTTCGTCTTTGATTGTCACGTTAATGTCTAATCAATTAATATAAATTGCCAATACCTTAAGCACTTTTCTCAGGGGTGGCCTTGGCTATCTGTCTGTCTGTCTGCCTGGCTTTGCGGTTAGCTATATCGTCTTACTGAATCTCTATATTTAGTGCCAGGCCAACGAATACAGCTAATAAGCTGTACAGTGGCTGGAAGGGCTCCTCAGTAATTAATTTGCTGCAGCTCGCATGGTCTTAACGGAGGGCCAGATCTGTCAGCTCGGCTTGTTCTCGTTATTTAATTACTGCGTCATATTCAGATGGCGTAATGCATGAGCACATGGAACTCCATGGCAGCCCCGGCAGGCCATTAACAGTGCTGCTTATGACCCGCCTAACGGTTTGTGCGGGCAATTAAAAACGGGAAACACGAACCATGGAGCTCGTGTCTCTTGCCAACCTGTTGCAGATCGACGGCCCATTGCAAATGTTCACATATCATTTCATTTAATTATAGTTTCAAGAGACTTGATCTACTATATTCTAGATGGGAAATTTGCTAAAATTTACTTTAAAAAAATATTATGATTAATGCATTATCTGCGTATCAGCTAATTAAATTCAAATTTTAGGAAATTTATTATATTAT